GTTTTTTTTTTTTTTTTTTTTTTTTTTTTTTTTTTTTATAAAAAAAATAAAAATCATATGAATGCTTCCCAATGAAATTTTGAATAAAGTTATTATTATTAATTCTTCACACAGTGTCCTAGCTAGTAAGGGCACTGAAGAACAAGAACCTTATTTTTATGGTATCAACTTGTAACTTCAGTGGTTAGAATGAGTTAAGAATTAAGATTTAAGCAGAGCAGACCGTAGATTTTGTTAGCTACAGTCATATTAACTACCTTTGGATATTTCTGAAAACAATAGTACATTTCCCATCAATGCGTTGATTGTGATTGAACATTATTAAGATTGATGTGAACTCTGTCACTATTAAATATAACCAAAGTTTCTTTCCAATTTTACTACCCCAACTACTACTCAGCTAGAACAGTTATTACTTATCTGGTTTCCTTGTCTGTCCTCAACACTACATGCGCATGAAAATGACATTCTTTCTTGTTTGTTGTTATTCTTAGTATTTTTATTGTTATTTCCTGAGTTTTTTATTTTTTATTTTTTATATTTTTATTAGAACAGGGAGATGAGTTATGAAGTCTCTAAAAAATTTCTTTCGTCATCTCTAAGCAGAATCATTAATCATGTTTTTGTTGATACTTATAACTGTATTTAAAAGAAGCAATATTTTTTGATGGCAGAAAATTGTAGAATATAACTTTCGGTATGACAAAAAAGTTTATATCATTTAAGAATTATGATAAGGTAAGAGTCGTTTATAAACATAGTTCTTTCTGAAATTATTAAGATACTTTTTTAAAGACAATCACAATAATCCAACAAGCGTGAAAGGAGATAATACACCATATGTGATCATTTTAATAATTGTTCTTGTTTCTTAATGTCTTATCGCAATAAAACTAGTACTTGTTTGGGTATCATTTGGATTCTTTTAAAAAAACAAACCAAATACATTGGGAAAAAAGATATACATGATTTTCTTTTTTATATAAAAAGTCTATTTATTGATAAATATTTTTTATATATTATCTTTTAAACAAAAATTATCATTTACAACAATTAAATTTATTAATATTTATACAAAAAAAAAATCCTACCTTAGAGGTCATATTTACCATAACTTCTAACTAAATTGTATATGTAAAAACTCTTTACACTTCCAATAAACATAAGAATTTAACATAAAAAAAAAAATCAAAATTCACAAGCTTATAATTAATTAAGTTCCAGATTTCTATGTAACATTGAAACTACTTCATTGATGTGGAGTTCAATACATCAAATGAAAAAAAATAAAATATATTTCATTGTCTATATGTAGTGGAATTACTAACAAAAAGACTAAAGTAAATTCATCAAGCTATCCTCTGGAATACTGTCTAAAGATGGCTTCCAAGAATCCATTCTCTCATCACCACATTCACCAACCTCTGAAATTCTTCCTCCCCTCAACCTCACAGCATCTAACAATTCCTCCAATGAAGTGTGGTGAGCTTCATCCTTGCACCTCAACATCCTCTTCAACTCTTCCTGAGTCATCACCACTCTAATCCTCACACTTCTACAATTACCTTTACCACTTCCTCTCTCACCACCTTCATAAGAACCATCATTCTCTATAATATTGAACCTCACCTTCTTCTTCATTATGCTGCTTTGATCCACCCTTGGTGCTTCCAACTTGGATGATGGTGGAACCTTTATGATCTTCTCAACTTTGGATGGGGTGGTTTCATAGTTCTCACCATGATCTTGGGCTGATATTTTGTTGCTCCTCAAACAGTTCCCCATGTTAGTAGTAATAATAATAATAATGAAGAATCATATATTAAACTTAAGAAGAACAAGGCATGTGAGAGAGGGTATGAAAAAGTGAGGTATAAATAGAGAGTAGGGAAGAGAAAGCACATGGGGTATCCGGTTGTTGCGCCGGGTGATGGAGATTCTCTTGCTTCTTAACATCATCAATTATCTATGCTTTTTTCATAACTTTTTTTTTTTTTTTTTTGCAGGCAATATTTAAAAATTCACAATCAAAACTATTGTGTTTGTAGAATATAATTTTTCTTGATTAAATATTATTTTAAAATAAATAATTTATGTTTATAAAAATTATGTTTTGTTCATCAAATATTATTTTAAAATTGATAAGAAAACTATGATAATATCTTGACTCATGTATTTCCAAACTAGTCTTGGAACATCAAATGGATATTTTAGTGGTGGAGACGCGTATGTATGTTACCTTAAGCATAATACTCATGTTCGGAATAAAATATAATTGGGTTCAAATAAGTTACTAATTAAATAAAAATTTTATTGATTTTAAATTAACAGGGACAGGACCGGTTTAAACTTTCAGTTATATATAGGTTGCATTTTTTATTGATTGAATTGTTGAATCGCTACTAACTAATAGTTGTTGACTTGTCCAATTTGTTAAATCTTTTATAATAGTATTCATTTAATAGTTAAATGAATATAGATTAACGTGTAAGACACCGTTACATCGTGAATCAATCAGAAATTATTATTATTATTTTTACAGATGATTTTTTAATCAATTTTTATAATGATTATTTAAAAATTATATTTAAGATGATTTGTAATTTATCGATGATGTAAAATTTACATAAAAAATGTATGTAAATTAACTGTACTAGTTGTAATAGTTGGACTTGTTTTGGGAAAGTAACGTTTGAACTTTTATTGCGTGGTTTTCCCAACATAACCAAACATAGGATTAGGCCAATTATATTTAGCCCTGCATAGTTCCAATTATAATAAGGTCGAAAATGATGCCTCAAATCACTGCTCAAAAAACGCTAATCTCTGTTCTTCTTAAGTGGTTTTGCAAAATCTTTCTAGTTACTTTCAACACTTTTTAAAAAAAAATTATAATTCTTTTCTAAACTTCATGATCAGAATATTCAGAGTACTCTTTTATATTTTCTTCAAACTTAATAGAATTTTAAATAATTTATACATTACTATATCGACTCTGCATTACATAAAAGGGGAGCATGAAATTCACTATTTTTTCACAATGGAGGATTCAAGCCATTTTATGGACACATACGTGTTTTCTACATATATAAAAGATTCTAACAATTTTTTTTTTTAAAAACCATTTTCTTTCTAAATAATACAGCGTTTAGATGCGTAGCAGTAGGAGATTTAGATAACGTGCTTCTAAATTTAAATCCTCATTATACACTAAAAAAACAAGTGCTTAGACTTCAAATTTTGGATAATACCTGTAACTTAAGAAAAATAAATTGGGGTCCCCCACACAAAACGTTAAATATCAATATGATAGCTTGCACTTTAATTCTGGTGTCCCCCACACTAAAGTTGGGGACAATATGTTGCACCATGAATTAATTAAAAAAGGTCAACCATGTTTTCAGTTCCGTCCATAACAATTGTATTTCAATTCCATTTAACACAAAGTAAAGAACAAAAAAAGATGAAGAAATTAAAACTAGTATTGTTTTAGATAGTTTATAGCAATTTAATTAGCTAGTCTCTTTAAATAGGCAATTGACAATTATATACCTTTGTATTTATATTTTAATCCACCTTCATCTGACTTTACACCGAGTACCACATTCTGTTGTGCAAAATTCAAACCTCGTTCTTATTACGTGGAACAAATTTAGACCCTCCAAGTTAAACAATTAATGCATTATTTAAAATCATTCTAACCAGCTTAAAAAAAATGAATGCATTAGGTCAAATCCTTGAAATGTAAGTGTCGTTTCTAACCCAAACAAATTGAGATCGAAATTCATCTATGGTGACCTACAATGAATGTGGCCACGATTTAAAGAGTCAAAACAAATTTATGTGCCCAGGATAAGGTAATGAAATGTCACATGAAGATGAAGGATAGTGAAGTTAGGTTATAGCACAAGCCATCTTCAGCTTGAGGACACCATTTATTTATTTTACTTTTCGTTTTCTATAAATTACATATGTTTTTTTTGTATTAAAGACAATTTTATTTAACGAGAATCTTATTCAAGTTGAATAATATTATGAGTGACAAAATTCTCTCTCTAAATATTTAATATAATTACATATATATCTAAGAGTTAAACTTGAACGAGTATGGATCCCACAAATTCGATAACACATATCATTTATATTTTTCAATCACGCTGTATTTGGTCCTATTTAGTTTTAGAGTTGTTGATCTGTTTAAGGGTCTTGCGTGTAGGAATAGTAGCAATTGCCAGCCAGATGGGGCATCTCTTCACATGGGATAACTACATCTACATGCTCAAATTTAATGCTTGTGTGTTTTCTTCACATATAGTTTCACACAAATTGTTGGACTCTTGTAGCATGATCCATATATAGTAATTGGGAGGCAAATATGATGCTTCTAACTTAAGATTGTTTAATGTTTTGCAAGGTGGAATTTTAGTTTATTAGTAACCTAGCTCTAAGTTTTGCATGTCAAGCATTTATAACAAATTATTGAAGTTGTAATTATCAAATTTAACACTAGATGTGAATCAATTTTTGTTTTATCATATTTTATTTTATAATCAAGGTTTGACAAATATTTGACTTTTTAATTGAGTTAGATGTGTTATATTTCAATGAATTAATTACTATTAATTATATATATATAATTACTAGTTGGAATATAAATATAATTAATACTAAAATTGTTATTTATATAACTGGGTTTGTAAATAGTAGTTTTTTTTTTAATGAACATGATCGCGAATACTAGATTACTTATCATGCATGCCAAAGTCCATAACATTTCTTGCATACGTCATGAAGGGCCGCGCTAATAATCCTTTGATTCAATGAGAGAATGAAGGTTGATGGAATTAAATGATTAGAATTTGGATCCTCTCCTGCAATATTCTCTCTTCAGCCTCTCTCCTGCAATATTAATAATCATTAGATATATTTAATGGTTCAAATTTAATCTTATAATTAATGTAACTTCTTAAATAATTTTTATAAAATTAAATTTGAGTCATTAGATATATTCAATGGTTATTAATATTACAGGAGAAATATTGCAGGAGATGATTCAAATTCAAATGATTAATGGGTTTAACTTTCATTGTTTCTACAAAGATCACAAATAATGAAATTTGAAGTTTCATCCGATGCTCATAATGATTGTGTGTATATAACTAAGCAAATTCACATCACACACCTAATATTATTATTTTTAAGTTTATACAATATATTAATTTATTTATTTACTATAAAATTATATATAATTTATTGAATTTGACTAAAATAATAAAGTACTGAAATATGAATTATTTATTTAAATTAATAATAAATAAAATGTTATTTTTACATTAAAAAGAAAATTCATAATATTTTTAATTCGATAATAGGATATACATTATTTAAATTAAAATACTTCACTTTTTTCAATAAATAATATATAATTTTAAAACTGACAGTAAAAATTTAAATATAATTTTCACGGACATATTTTAAATTAATAATAAACATATGTGTTTTCCTATGAAAAATATATATTTCTTCGAATTGAACAGGATACAAATATGTATAACATAATTATTTTTCTGATTGTTGATAGTGTTGAATATAGTGACAAAAACATGAGTGTTGAATTAGTTATTTATGATTACTTGCAGTGAATAGAAAAAGTTGTTAATGAATGGTAACATGGGATTAACTAACGAAGCTACCCTCCACATGCCATTCAATCCATCACGTGTTTCTCACGTGATCATCCCTGATAATGTGCTTTGCAACTTGCAAGTGCCAATGCCATCTCTCTCTCTCTCATATGTCTCAACTCAATTGTGTGTGAAACACTGAAAAGGGCTTTCTTGCATTTCATTTTCTTCGCTATGCACTTCACTTCTCTCTCTCTTTTGGGTTGCATTGAAGCATTTTTTTGTTTGAGATTCTGAAGTGAGGAGCAAGAGCAACCTTCTTAATTTAATGCTTACTTTCGGATTCATTGTATTGGTTGGTGACAAGCTGCAACTATGAAGAGATTGCTCTCTCGCTGTTTCCTTCTTCGGATTACTGTGCTTCTTCTTCTTCTTCTGTGTATGTGTTGTTTGTACTTTGTAGCAGATATCTGCATGACCCTTAACTGTTAATTTAACTCTTTGTTGTTTAAATTGTCATTCAGCTTTCCAAGTTTGCATCTTGATGGTTGGGTTACTAAATTTCTGTTGGATATGATACTGAATTTGCAATAAGCAATGCAATTGTACTTGCATCTTAAGTAGAATTCTATGTATTGATTGTTGCTATTAATATACTTTGGCTATAAACCTTAATACCCTTCATACAATTTCCCAATGAAGTGTTCTTCTTTTGTGCATTGTAAAATGCCAATGTGCTACCAGCGCATTATTCAACTTTTCATGCTGTATAATTTTTCTGCATGTACTTGATAGAATTATGCAGTGTGTCTGATGTCTTAATGTATGCTGAATGAGTCTACTTATTTTGCTGCCTTAGGCAATGGTAGAGTATTTCATTTTCTTCTAGAAGTATTGTTCCTTAAGCTGAAAATTGCCTGTATGCAGTTATGAACAAGTCTCAGGGCTCTCCAATCAGAGTCGCAGAATATTCGTTTTCTATCACTACTAAGGTTGATGCGTTATCTCCTGCCATCTCTCCAAGTGCACAGCCACAGCCCTTTATTCCTCTTATAGCTCCTTCCCCGTTGAGACCTTTCACAAATAATTCTGTGCCTAAGTTATCAGGTATGGTTTACTTTTCCTTTTCTGTCTGTCACTGTGAGAACTTACAGTATGATTTTTGTTTGCTAAGTTCTTGTTTTCACATATACTGCCCACCCTTTGAGACATTGTAAATTTGTAATTGTTGGTTGTTGAAATTATGGGGTTTTAGGTATAAAGGGAGGAAGAGAGATAAAAGAGAATGAAGCATTAAATTGATTTTAACTGAGATGTGTTACAATGTATTGATTTGATGTCTATAAAACCTAGACCACTAATTCTTATTAATACTAATCATAATCTTAATTAATTAGGGAAATAAATCATGATAAGATAAGGAAACATGGTAACTAATCCTAAGAGGCGTTTATTTCACAGATTACTTCATTCCCAGGAATGTAAGCTTGAGAATTTAATATTCTCATATTACAAGTTTTGAAAAATTATTCTCAAATATTATTCACTGAAAAGTTATCCTATCATGTTTTCTACATTTTTATTCCCATGTTGAGAGTGGGAAAAATGATATTCCCAGGGGAATATGGTGTTAGATTTCTTCTTAAAATCAATTAGTATTAAGCGAAGTTGCCCAACAAATATATACATCGCACTCGGAGAATTGAGGCAAATGATTGTGGGACTTCTCAACATATGGGAAGTTATGTTTTGACACACTTGTAATTTTTTTCTTATTATTTTTATTTAAATTATTTTCATTTTTAAATAAGATATGAAAGTTATTTTCTTATATTCTAACATTGGTGAATAGAGGGGAGCAAGGGCAGAGCCAAGGTTTTATAGGGAGGCCAAGCCCAAAGTAGATTAAAATATCGTCAAATATTTAAGTCAATGACTATCTAATTACAATACGATATAGGCATGAAGCATGAGTACAGCTGAAGGATGCTGTGTGAAATTAGAGTGCAGTAGTCAAAGTGTAACACTGGTGAGTTTAGTGCTATATGGTAAGGTGCAAAAATATGGGTTTGTACCTGAAGACTGGTACTTTTTTTTCTGAGTAAAAGGTGAAGTACAAGTGCAATGGAGTGAAGATTCAGTGGCATTGGTGCAACACATGGGTTTGTGCAAGTGCTGTGGTGCTTAGTTTGTCCTCTCCAGTGGTGTGTATGGTAGTGCTATGGTAATTGGTGAGTTCAATTTGTTGTGTTCATGTGGGTAATGGATCTGAGATGAAGTTGCTGCTACGTGGGAAGATTGTGCAGGCTGTTGTGAAACCTTGACTGTGAGATGTGGTAGAAGAGTGACAACGAACTTAGTATCATAATTCATGTCTGACAAAAAAATGTAAAAGTTTGGGGATGGGGTTAGACCATGGATCTTATCCGCTCCCTCCACACTTGGAGGAAAACATATCTGGGTAAATAAAACAGCTAGTCTCTTATGACAGTTATGTATTCAAAAATGTGTTCAAGTCCTTCATTCTTTGGGTGGATTTGGCTATCCTTTCAAATTATTAGAGGGTAACTCTACAACTATTCCTAGCTTCATTATATGATATAAATCTATCACTATGAAATGGGACTATATATTTAAATGAAATCTTGCAACCAAAGAGTAAAATCACTTTATTCTTTCTTGAACATGCTATTGCATGTGCATCCTTAGTGCATGTACTTATCTTGAAGTGCTTTGAATTACTAACCTTCCGGTTATTGAGATGACCTAGATTTCCTTTTTACATCCAGGTCTTTGTTCATTGAATTTCTCAGCTGCTCAAGATATAATGACCACAACTGCTACTGATTGCTGGACTTCCTTTGCTCCATATTTGGCAAATGTTGTATGTTGTCCTCAATTTGATGCTATGCTGGTGACCCTCATAGGGCAGTCTAGCAAATACTCAGGGGTGCTAGCTTTGAACACTACTCACGCTAGTCACTGCCTTTCTGATGTCCAGAAGGTCCTGGTCAGTCAAGGAGCAAATGGGGACCTAAAAAATATATGTTCAATCCATCGAACAAATCTCACTGAAGCCTCTTGTCCTGTTGTTTTTGTTGACGAATTTGAGAGTATTGTAGACACTTCAAGACTTCTGACCGCTTGTAGAAAAATTGATCCTGTAAATGAGTGTTGTGATCAAGTTTGTCAAAATGCCATACATTATGCTGCTAGAAAAATTGCCTTGAATGATTTGTCTAATTCAGATGGAAACCATAGCTTGCCTGGGCCGACAGCTAGGATCAATGATTGTAAGAATATTGTCCGTCGTTGGCTGGCTAGTAAACTTGATCCATCCACTGCAAATAGTGTTTTTAGAGGACTCTCAAACTGCAACCTAAACAAAGGTGAGCAAGGAGAAAAAAGGAGAAAATATTAAAAAAAAATACATTCTCCTTATATCACGTTTGATTATTACAATTTTGGCTAATTTATTGGAATATAAAGCATACATCTGACAATGTTCAATGTTGTTATAATACTTCACTCAGAATGCCCATTGACCTTTCCAAATGTCACAAGTGTTGTGAAAGAATGCGGGAATCTCATAAATAACCAAACTGCTTGTTGCAAAGCCATCAAAAGTTATGTGTCCTATTTGCAAGAACAGAGCTTTGTAACCAATCTGCAAGCCTTGAAATGTGCTGTATCACTTGGAAAGAAATTGCAGAAAGAAAATGTCTCCGGAAATGTTTATAATCTTTGTCATATAAGCCTGAAGGACTTTTCTCTGCAAGGTTGGCATTGTCATATTTCCCTTGCTTAGGAAACTTCTATTTTACCCTTTCTGCCTATCTGCAAGCACTGATACTGACACTTGTCCTGTTATGTTGCTAACGGTTGATGGATTTTCCCTTGGAGCAATCAGTTGGATTGCAAGGTATGAAATTTTTATTGATATTGTTTTGCTGCTGAAATAAAGATAAAGTTTGTGTTTTTTTTTCCTTGTTCCTCTCATAAAAAATTTGGTGTTTTTATAATTATCAAATTTAAATGCCACTTAGAAATGAATTTAACTCGGGGTTATATGAAAATATAAAGTAACTTCATTTAGGGTCTGTTTAGATAAATTTTTTTAGAAACATTTCTATGAGAAAGAAATAGAAAGGAAAAATTAAATAGGTTTTTCCATAAGTTAATTAACTTATGCACAAGCTAATTTGTAGAATCTCTCTCATATAGTTTCTCCAAAAATTTATTTTTAACTTGAGCATAAGCTAGCTTTAGTTTATGAAAAAACTTGTCTTATTTTATTTTTCCTTCTTTTTATTTTCTCCTAGAAATGTTTCTGACATCCAAACAAGTCCGTAGGCATTATAATGGATAAATTTTCACACAATTTATCAATAATTTCAGCATAATATAGTTAAACACTTCTTTCTTGACAACACTTGAAGGCAACTAGGTGATCTCTTGTATAGTTATAAATGGAGAAAAATATAGTTGTTACTTTAACCAATACTTTTTATTGATATAAAAATATATAGTTTGCACTTTATATATCAGATGCTTCTAGAGACTGCAGCTAATTTTCCTTGGCATTGGAGTATCTAACATTAATCAATCATCTTGATTTCATCTAGAATCTGGCTGCCTTTTGCCGAGTATGCCTTCAGATGCAGTATTTGATGAAACTACAGGGATTGGATTCATTTGTGACCTTAATGACAACATTGTAGCTCCATGGCCCACAACATCGTATCTGTTTCCATCCTCATGCAATAGATGTAAGTATAAGCTTCCCGCCTATATCATATTTTCCCCATGTACAACACTGGATTGTACTTTGTTAACATTTTGATTTTTGATAATGTCCAAAGACATATCTTCACTCTGCACCATGTCTAATTGATTTGTTCCTTTTATTTTATGGCACCGCAGCTACAAAACTTCCATCTCTTCCTACAGCGACATCTTCACAAAATAGTAAGTACCATTCTACTGGACTGCTAAGAACTGGTTTTTTAGGTCTGATCTTCTCTTCATTTTCAAAGCAATGGTAGTTGTAAGATATAGGGTCAGTTTGTTTTGCATGTATTTTCTCTCAAAATCATTTTTATTTGTCACAAATTTGATTCTTAGACATACAACTCCAGAATTTACCCAAGCAATTCAACAAGTACTGTCAAAAAAAATTTTCTCGGACAAGAATGTGATTATCAAGTCTAACCAAACCAGTAAATAAAATGTTCCTTCTCTCTTCTTTCATGTATGGTCTATTAGACTCTATTTGGATAACTTTTCCATAAACACTTATCGGAGAAAAAACCAAGAAGGTTAAAATGAATTCTCCCATAAACTAATACACACTTATTTTATAGAAGCTCTCATTTAACATTTTCGGAAGCTGAGGTGCATTTAACTTTTGGGAGAAGCTTAATTTATTGTAGTTTCTTATTTCCTTGTCTTATGAGTATTTATTATCTAAACAAAACTTTAATCATTAAAGAGGTAGATGTCTAATATAAGAGCTTTGAATTCAGTTTGTATTTTCATTTAATGTGATTCAGATGTTTTCCTGCTGTTGCATAGTCATGACCTTTAAGGGATGAATGGAATTAACAAAAATCTATTTTGACAGTGACCGCCCCTCACCCCCAAAACTACACACAAAACACACAGACACAAAAAAAAAGAAGAAAATCAGTAACGACAGGATGTGGAAGTTGGAGCATGTGTGTACTACTGTAATTTCTTACTTTCATGTTAACATATGTATGATGTGGTGTATTAAATGTTGCAAATTTTCCAGATAATCTTTTACTAAAACAGAAACTTATAGCATGTTGTTCATTGAGTTAAATTACACCATTCCCTGTATACACCAGCTTAAAAATTCGCAGTAAAGCCTTCCAGAAGAAACCTGGACAATGATTGAAATGTTTTTCATGTATTTTTTATTCTTGAAGAAAAATGTAACACTAAAAAATAAGATGAAATGAGTATATTTATTTATACATCATCTTAAGAATTGGAATTGAGTCAGCTATCTACTTTAGCTTAATCATCGTGGGACTTCTGTAAGGATAAATGGATTATTAGACAATTTAATTCAGTGCACTGGAAAATTGTTCTACTTGATGGATACCTATGCATTTTTATTGATGAAAATCTACTTTGAATTCTTATTTGTTGCAGGTCTTTACATTAATACCTTGGTTTTGCCTCTCCTCTTTACCTCTGTACTACTTCCCAGGAGGCTTCTTTAACCTTGGTGTTCTCTGTATTTAAGTTGTTTTGGCTACAAGGGTTTACACATAAGATTGCAATTCTTTTTCTAACGAAGGACTAAGTCCTTTTTCGTATCCAATCATCCAATATGTTCATATTGTCATTAGTTAATGAGTAGAAGAATCCTACTTTGCGATAGCCTTTCTGGTAGCTTCTTAATTGTATTCTATTACCATATCATTGTTTCAATATTCTTTGAAATTGTAATAAGTTTTGTTTCCTTATAAAGAAATAGTATAAATATAAAGAGGATTATCTAAGTTCTTTCTCTATACTACACTATACAATTTCGTTCCTGTTTTACCATTTTTTTTTTGGCATATAGGATTGATTTTGGGTGGTGCTTGGGTTGTGGGGTTGGCCACTTTTCCACACCCAGAACAATAACAATGTGAAGTGACTTTCTATGAGTCCCACCATTGTTATTGACTAGACCTTATCGCTTAGCAGCATATATATGCAGTGACTCTAACAATTATAATAATTGAATTCAAGTAGTACGTGCTATCATTTTCCTGTAACCTATGAGTAATAGAGGAGTGAGCAGTAATGTGCTGGCCACAACCAAGGTGTTAGTAAATGAATGATTATTTCACCTGAAAGATAAACAATTATGAATCTATAGAAACAGATACTTAAATTTTTCAAGCTCTACCTTTAATTGTCTCATTGTGTTCAATATTGTGTTTCTACTTTTTTTTTTTCACCTGGTACAAGCTATCTTGAACTTTCAGGAATTAATTTGCTTACAAAAGCTCTACAGTTAGTTTTTTTTTGTTAGTTTTGGTAACCACGTGATTATAGCCTTTGACATCTTAGGTATGCCCACAAACTTTGGTCTTTTGTGCTGATAGGATTAATCCTAGGTAGGTCTAAGTTTAGTTACAATTGAAACTCCAGGTCTCTCCTTAACATGTATTTTGTGGGAATTGAACCTAGTTTCTTTCCCAAGCTGTAGAGTTTGTTTTAGTAGTGTTTGGCTTAATTTATTTTAGGTTTTTCTTTTTAGATTTACATATCACATATAATTTACTTTTGGTTATACTTTAATTTAAATTTAAAGTAACTTTTAATTTCAAAAATTTTAGATTAAATGATATCTATGTTCGAAAGTGATAACATGTTGACAACAAAATTTGTAGTCAACATATTATGTACTATATATTTCTAATAACTTTTGCGTGGACCAAATACATGGAAAAAAATATTTATAATAACTTTAGCATGTAAACTTAAAATGTGTTATTAATTAAAATATTAAAAATTAAATAATTATTATTCAACTAGTTTTGGAAATTTTTTTTGAATAATAATTAGTATAGTTTTAAAATATTTTATTATTTTTATAATTTCAAAAAAAGTAACTATACAAGTAAATATAATTTTCTGTAATTTAGTTAAAATTATAATTTATAATTTGTAAATGCTAAAACTTTAATTAAAATTTATATTTTTTTGAAAAGTTATATGTAACTAGTATTTTAGTCTATATATTTCACAGACTAAACATTTATTATATATAATTAAAATTTATAATAAATTATATATATAAATAGATATTATATTGAATATATAAATTATATTTAAAATTTGTGTACATAGATATTTTTAAACATTAATATTATATTTTATATTTTAGATAAATAATTTATATTGTAACACAAGATTATTTTTAATTATTGATGATTTATTTTAAAATTAAAATTTAATTTATAAATAAATATGATAAATAAAAAATTGAATTAGAAAGGAAGTTAAGAAAATTCCTAAAAATGCTCCCACTGAGAAATAGTTCATAAAACGCTCCCATGTAAGATAATTGTTTGTATTTGAATGTATAGAAGTTGATTTTAACAAAAGAGTAATTTTGTTATTTAAATATAATTTATATTTTATTTATGGACAAATGAATCATTAATCGAAGTGAAACTATCAATTCTTTTAAATAAATTCAAGTTAATGAATATTTTTCACTAATAATATGATTAATTTAAAAAATTGATATTTTAAGTTCTATCGTATCATCATCTTATCCATGTCAAATATAGGATAAGAAAACATATTTTATACCACTCTTATTATATTATTTTCTTATCATATTTTCACATTTTATCCTACATATTGACCAAGTGATCGGTTCAATGAGTATGATGAAGTTGGTAAGTGAATCTGGATATAAGATTTCTTGTATCGAAAATCGTCCTAATGATGGATCCATATATATAAGAGCAACTTCCTAGTAACATTGAGGGTTAAGAGGTGTGTTCTACTACCATGATGTAAGATCAAAAAACGATCTTAGATCTCTCAAGAATCTATAAGTTTTAATGATAATAAACAAAATATTTTCATAAGAAGAGACTATTTCAGATGAAGCAAACATTATATTTCGTCTGTAAGATGAAATACATTAGACGAATCATACAATCTGACTCTCTACTAAATTTATTTCTCATTATCAAGTCAAATTATCATTTAGAGTATTGAATATTTTATTCCTTAACAAATTAAATGAAACAACTTCCTTGAAGACACCAAAAGTTGTTAAGAATGGAAAGTCAATCTTTGTGTCAGAAAAGAAAGAGAAAAATCTCAAAAATCACGAAAAAACACACAAGAACTTTGAACGTGCACACTGCTCTGATTTAGCCACTACATTTCATCCTACCTAATGAAATGATGATAAATAGCTGCCAAGATCAGATAAGAGATGAACATTTTCGTGCAATGAATTAAATGTTTGTAGCAATGACTAATTTACTCCTCTCTCTCTCTTGTCTCGAAGAGAAGACATACGAAGTATCTTGAGAATATTGCTCAACGATCATTTTCTTCCAAGATACTATATAAAAGATTCTTAATCAAGACAACATGAAGAAGTAAGAAAATAAGAGAGACAGGAAATGAAGTTACCACATCATGAAAATTTTCTAAGTGTTCCTTGTAAATAAATTCTGTCTTGTACAAATTACTTTTTTTTTTTCACCTGGTACAAGCTATCTTGAACTTTCAGGAATTAATTTGCTTACAAAAGCTCTACAGTTAGTTTTTTTTTGTTAGTTTTGGTAACCACGTGATTATAGCCTTTGACATCTTAGGTATGCCCACAAACTTTGGTCTTTTGTGCTGATAGGATTAATCCTAGGTAGGTCTAAGTTTAGTTACAATTGAAACTCCAGGTCTCTCCTTAACATGTATTTTGTGGGAATTGAACCTAGTTTCTTTCCCAAGCTGTAGAGTTTGTTTTAGTAGTGTTTGGCTTAATTTATTTTAGGTTTTTCTTTTTAGATTTACATATCACATATAATTTACTTTTGGTTATACTTTAATTTAAATTTAAAGTAACTTTTAATTTCAAAAATTTTAGATTAAATGATATCTATGTTCGAAAGTGATAACATGTTGACAACAAAATTTGTAGTCAACATATTATGTACTATATATTTCTAATAACTTTTGCGTGGACCAAATACATGGAAAAAAATATTTATAATAACTTTAGCATGTAAACTTAAAATGTGTTATTAATTAAAATATTAAAAATTAAATAATTATTATTCAACTAGTTTTGGAAATTTTTTTTGAATAATAATTAGTATAGTTTTAAAATATTTTATTATTTTTATAATTTCAAAAAAAGTAACTATACAAGTAAATATAATTTTCTGTAATTTAGTTAAAATTATAATTTATAATTTGTAAATGCTAAAACTTTAATTAAAATTTATATTTTTTTGAAAAGTTATATGTAACTAGTATTTTAGTCTATATATTTCACAGACTAAACATTTATTATATATAATTAAAATTTATAATAAATTATATATATAAATAGATATTATATTGAATATATAAATTATATTTAAAATTTGTGTACATAGATATTTTTAAACATTAATATTATATTTTATATTTTAGATAAATAATTTATATTGTAACACAAGATTATTTTTAATTATTGATGATTTATTTTAAAATTAAAATTTAATTTATAAATAAATATGATAAATAAAAAATTGAATTAGAAAGGAAGTTAAGAAAATTCCTAAAAATGCTCCCACTGAGAAATAGTTCATAAAACGCTCCCATGTAAGATAATTGTTTGTATTTGAATGTATAGAAGTTGATTTTAACAAAAGAGTAATTTTGTTATTTAAATATAATTTATATTTTATTTATGGACAAATGAATCATTAATCGAAGTGAAACTATCAATTCTTTTAAATAAATTCAAGTTAATGAATATTTTTCACTAATAATATGATTAATTTAAAAAATTGATATTTTAAGTTCTATCGTATCATCATCTTATCCATGTCAAATATAGGATAAGAAAACATATTTTATACCACTCTTATTATATTATTTTCTTATCATATTTTCACATTTTATCCTACATATTGACCAAGTGATCGGTTCAATGAGTATGATGAAGTTGGTAAGTGAATCTGGATATAAGATTTCTTGTATCGAAAATCGTCCTAATGATGGATCCATATATATAAGAGCAACTTCCTAGTAACATTGAGGGTTAAGAGGTGTGTTCTACTACCATGATGTAAGATCAAAAAACGATCTTAGATCTCTCAAGAATCTATAAGTTTTAATGATAATAAACAAAATATTTTCATAAGAAGAGACTATTTCAGATGAAGCAAACATTATATTTCGTCTGTAAGATGAAATACATTAGACGAATCATACAATCTGACTCTCTACTAAATTTATTTCTCATTATCAAGTCAAATTATCATTTAGAGTATTGAATATTTTATTCCTTAACAAATTAAATGAAACAACTTCCTTGAAGACACCAAAAGTTGTTAAGAATGGAAAGTCAATCTTTGTGTCAGAAAAGAAAGAGAAAAATCTCAAAAATCACGAAAAAACACACAAGAACTTTGAACGTGCACACTGCTCTGATTTAGCCACTACATTTCATCCTACCTAATGAAATGATGATAAATAGCTGCCAAGATCAGATAAGAGATGAACATTTTCGTGCAATGAATTAAATGTTTGTAGCAATGACTAATTTACTCCTCTCTCTCTCTTGTCTCGAAGAGAAGACATACGAAGTATCTTGAGAATATTGCTCAACGATCATTTTCTTCCAAGATACTATATAAAAGATTCTTAATCAAGACAACATGAAGAAGTAAGAAAATAAGAGAGACAGGAAATGAAGTTACCACATCATGAAAATTTTCTAAGTGTTCCTTGTAAATAAATTCTGTCTTGTACAAATTATTTGTGCTTAATTTTCATAGCA